GCTGGGCTAATCGGCACCTCTGTGAATGCTCTATTTAAGATAGGGACAAAGGAGTCCAAAAACGTGGGTTTGGACCTGCAGTGAGGAGAGGGGGGAGGCAGGGGGCTGCCCCCCTCCCCAGCCTCCTGGGCAGGGTCTGCCCATGCTGGGCCAGTGCCACCTGACTGGAGATGGCCACAGTGGCGCAGCTTGGAGAACTTGGAAGTGCTGCGCTGCTGGGGTGCCTGCTGGGCTGAGTGCATCCAGAAAGAACTAAGATCCGGGAGAAACAGCCACACAGACAGCGGGTCAGTGTGGGTGCAGCAGGAGGAGGTGCCTGAACGGGGACTGTCCTCAGCCCGCGGTGAGGAGCAGCAGCCCCCGCAGCCATGAGACTCGGTGGGGCACAGACCCACTGCAGCCCAGGGAGAAGCCCTCCTGTGCCTGAGGGAGGTCGTCGAGATGATGCACAACGAAGCAGAGACGCATCTGAAGTCCATGGAAAGACCCACGCCAGAGCAGGTGGAAGCTCCCTAAGAAGCCGTGACTGTGGTAACAGCCTGCACCAGAGCAATCTGCTGGGTCAGGATCGCATCCTGCGGGAAGGACCCATGGTGGAGCAGTCTGTGGACTGTCCCATGAGGAGGGGATCCACTGGAGCAGGGAAGAGAGTGTCAGGAGGCCTCCTCCTCTGGGAAAGAAGCAGCAGAAACAGCATGTGATGAACTGACCTGCAGCCCCCATTCCCTGTCCCCCTGCACCACTGGGGAGGAGGTGGAGCCGGGAAGAGAGGAAAGGTTGGGGGGAGGTGTTGTTTTTAAGATCTGGCTTTGTTTCTTGTTATCCTCTCAAGTGACTGTTAATAAATTAAACTGATTTGTCCCCAAGCCGAGTCTGTTTTGCCCAGGGCCATGGTCAGTGGGTGCTCTCTCTCCGTTCTTATCTCGACCCTCAGTCCTGTTGTTACATTTCTCTCCACCTCACGGAGCGGATCAGTGAGCAAGTGGCTGAGCTGCCAACTGGGCTGAACCACGACAACCAACTGCTTGAAGACTGGTGGGTGAACTTATTCAGATCATACAAGAAGTCTAAGGTTCCTGTACGTTATTACTGCTGTGAGGCCAATTTCTCCAAGAGGAGCCTTTGCAGTATCTCAGCAAAGTGAGGCCACGTCATTATCCCAACTAGACTGATAAGGAACAGGAAGCAGAGAGACATCAGCAGTAAGAGCATCCTCCAGTTCTGGGTGATCAGTCAGATATGCCTCAGCCCTCACAGCAAGGCACACGGGGCTGTGCAGCCTGGCTGGTCCTGGCTCTGCTCGGGAGAAGGAGCACAACCCACTGTGCGTGGGCACACTTTACCTGTCATTGTGCGTGAGTTGGCAGCGTTTGATATCTGGCACGGAGATAACACCACAGCGCTTGTACTGGCCATCCCCAATGGAGCGGGAAACCTCCAGCACTCCCAGGACTCTTCCGTCCCTGCACAAGGGAAGAAAACATTGAAAGCCCTCCCCACGCACACACATCTCACTGGTGGGGGACACACTGCACGGTATGCTCAGCTGCCTCGCACAAATCCTGACCCACTGCCCCAGCAAGTTCAGATCCTCCCTTCAAAGTCTCCTTCCCCTTTCTGCATGTCTGTGTGAAGCTCTGGGAAACAAGTGGAGAGCAGGACGAAGAAATAAAGTCTATTTTCCCTCTCCCTGTCCTAACTCAAGCCCTGCCTAGCCTAGCAAGCCAGGGAAGTAGGAGTTATGCGCTAAGCTGGACTCCCAGAGGCAGAAGTTCAAATTCAGAGATTATTTTTTGACAAGGTATCTGGCAAATTGCATTTCAATAGAAGCACAGAGTGGCAGCAGGCAAGACAAGGCGTGAGCCAGCAGCCCCTCCTGTGCCAATAACTGTGACACCAGCTCCTACAGACTGGCTCAACTGAGGGCAGTTCCAAGGAGGGAGAACCATGGCACCTTCTCCTCATTACTTGGTCTTTACTAACCACTGATTGCAGCAACCAGTTCCATGAAACTCGAGTTCCAATCCTCCTTCGGAAGCAGTTTTGCTTGCTAAACTTTTCTAATTAACTGAGCGCTGCCTCAACAGAAGCAGCTTCCCACACTCCACCTTTCCAACAATTAAGCATCTTCTCCCTCAAAAAGCTTTTCTGTACACTCTGGAAAGATACAAGCTTGTTCACCTCGTAGTCCAACCAGAGTTGAGATAAAAGCAAGAAGCGAGCCACGTCACAGAGAAGAGATCTGATGCTCACACACTTTGCAACCTATCTCTTGGGTCCAAAATATTGAACTACAAGCAATGGGAGCGGCTCCCAGGCAGCCGGGGTGATGTTCTCCCAGTTCTGAAAAGAGCTAACAGACACTGGCCCTTCTCTTTCCTGCGTGCAAAGATAGATCAGTGCTAAGCATAAGCAGCAGCATGTGCTCCCCAGAGATAAGGGGAACAAGGCTCTCCAGACACGCAGCACAGCAGAACTGAGCCCACTCTGGGGGCGTTTGCCTCTGAAAGCAGTAAGACTCTCCATGAAACAGCCTTCAAAGAAGGGAGAACCTAGCCAGGGAAATCAGACACAGCTGGTGTTTAGCACCAGCAGCCCAAACAGCCACACACACCGGAAGGTGAAGATAATCCCTCTCTGGCTCCAGAAACCTCCCTCCTACCGCAGACTGCCTCAGTGCATCAGCCAGGCCCCAGGGCAGCAACACCAACCCACACTGAGGGCTTCTCCCACCCTCCCAAACCACTCTCCTTCTTCCAGGACGAGGAGGGAGAGACGATGCTGCAAGCAAGGATGTGAGTTCTGTTCAATGCCACAGTGGGCAGCAAGTGATAACTTCTTAAGCAATCAAACCCAGCTCTGTGCTTAAGCACATCCATGCCTGCATGGCACTGCCAGGCTTTCGTGTGGGCTCCTGCCTTTGCAGCACAGCACCCTGCCCACCGTTGGAAGCCCCCGGGAAACCTGACCCCATCGACCAACTCAAGGCACCAACTCCTTAGACACCACTGTGCATCCCCCAGACAGCAACGGATTCTCTCCAGGATCTTGCTAGCAGGAGTGCTGGGCTTCGGAAGCTCCAGAAACTCAGTGCTCAGGCCCAGAGTCGGGGCTAGTGAATGACGCATGAACGATGCAGGGTTTACATCTGCACACTCACACCCTTCAGACACTTACCTGACGTTTCCCCCAGCTTTCTGTATCCGCATGCGCTCCTCGTACTGGGTGGGGTTGTGCTCCTTGCTGAGGCTTAAGGCTGCGTGTTTCCGACTCTCTTCGTTGTAACGACACAGAATCGCCTGTGCTGACAAAAGACCCTCATAAGCCTGCGGCAAGAACTTCTTGAGAGCTGCAAGTCGTAGTGACGGGGGCTACACCTGGCTGGTGAG